GCTGCCTTCCCGCTGGCTGACGATGCGGCTGGACGCCGCTTGCGGTGAGAGCCATGTGAGAGCCTGACCAGCGCTGGTCCGAGCCTCTTGGAAGTCTTTGTTTGTTTTTCCTAAGATGCATTGCCGGCGCATGACTTTTTGACCCTCACGGAGGGTGGTCTGCCGGTGACGGCCTGAGTTCAGTTCATTGCCACAGAGTGGCAAGCAGATGGCACGGCTGCTAGACTCACGAGAGTCCACACATTCACTATGTCTGAGGCGGCGCAACTCGAATCGTCTCGAGCGCGTGGGAAGAAGAAGAAGAAGAAGAAGAAGAATAACACTTTGTTGTTGTTGTTGTTGTTGTTGTTGTGCAGACTTGTTTAAACAGCCAAATGAACCAGCTTGAGCCATTTTGGTGCTGCAACTTGCAGCTTTTGATGCACTTCAGTTGCAAATTGACGATTTTGACCACTGAAGCCTGGTATGTGCCAGCGTTTATTGACGTAAAAAGGATCACGCTTGGGTTTCCTTCAGCGATGAGCCAAGGCAGCAAAGTCAAGCTCAGATTGGTCTTTGATGGTTTGATGAAACTATATTGCAGCAAAGATTGGCGCGTATCGACTGCAAAACTGTCTCCAATGAAGCGTCCTGCGTCCTTCTGGTACACCTTGGGACGTCTGACTCGTCCGAAGTGTCTCTTCGGCCTCTTGATGGGGGTAACTGGCAGTCGAAGGTACCTCATACCTTGAGTGGGAGTTTGAGTGCAGTGAAGTACACTTCAGAACATATTTCTCAATATGACTCAAGGGAGCAAATTGATCATTCCCTAGTCAAGGGAGGTGGCAAGGGCCAAAAACGCTCCAAGGCCCCTCATACCATTGATACAGTGGCCAACTCAGCAGCAAACGGTCCGTCAAACTGCAATGAACATGAAATGGCATTCTGCCTGAACAAAGACCCACAAGTCATACGAAGACTGCTGCACACTGCACCCGCTAAATCCCAAACCCTATGGATCCACATACCCTCTGACACCTTTATGTAGGCACCAGAAGGGTCCAAGTAACTACCTTCTGAGAAGGTATGTGGACCCCTAGGGAAAGGTTGAGATTGGAACAACTGTGAAAACATGAACATAAGCAAAAGTCCTCCAAACCCTGCACCAAACTCCAACAAACCATTTGCCCTTCAGCAGGCTTCTTTGTGCAAGGTCAGATGACACAAAAAAACAACTTTAAACAGCATGGAACCACTTTCAGCTGGCAAGTCAACCAAACGAACCCAAAGCACTGGAACTGAGCACTGGGCAGTCATCCCCTTGAACAAACATCCAAGGGATGCAGTCTCGTGGTCTTTTGAATGCCTCAGTGTCTGGCGAAAAAAAAACACACACTTTTGAGATTTGTGAGGGTAGAAAACATATCCAATATGTGTTTATCTCCCAGACACGACACATGGGACTGGAATATATGTATGTCTACATCTAAAATCGCCCAATGTAATATGATTTTATAATACTTTATATGAGTATATCATTATATTGCAGTCAAGTCCCTTGGAGTGTTTGAGATAATTACATTCATACCTCTTTACATATGGACCCCAGTTTCAACCAACCCCGCTTGATTGGGAGTCCTTTTTTTCAGAACCCAGATTTTTTCAGGTCGTGTCTGGTCGTGTTTTCTCAGGCCGAGGAATTTATTCGGACGAACTATCCCAAACGATCCACCAGCAACTCCCAAAGGGTGGTTTATAGACTCCACTGAAGATGTCTTGTCCATCTATTTTTTGGTTTACCCTTTGGGTGGTGCTGGCATGTAGTTATACCTAGTACTTCCAATGGGTGTCCTGTCTGGAAACCTATAAGTAGGGTTCTCCAGCCAGGTGACCCGTTTGGAAGCAGCTGGTATGTATCACTTTACAGCCATCTAGTATATAACTATATGTTCCATACATGGATGGTCTGGGAATGTTTAATGAATGTGCGGGCCATTTTCATGCATTGTCATTCCCTATGGATTATTCTGTGTTCGACACCTTTATGTCTTGGGTCCTACCGAACGTGAGACGGTCTGTGGATCTCTGGTTAGGCCCACAGGAATCGACGATTTCCAAACAAAAACAACGGAAGGAAGAGATTCCACAGTTGACCAGCGCTCGGATTCCGGATGTCCAATTTGTTTTTCACGGCTTGCTGCGACGGCACCGCTTCGACGGCTTGGTTTCATACGTTTGGCCAAGCCGAAACGAAAACCCTCGGCCGGGCGAAGGCTGTGCCCTGTTTGGCCCGGCCAACGCGCACCCAGCGTGCTGCGCTTGCGTCTGCAGCGGTATATACCCCTCATCTCTCGGGATCGACCCTCAGGTACGGTACATCTGTTCGACTCCTTAGATCTGTTCGGCGCTCTCTATCCCTAGGGCCTCAGAAGGTGTTTGGACCCTCCTGGCACCCACCCCAGTCCCACCTTCTGGCACGACTGGAGCCCTAGGGTGGTCGGGTCTGGTCCCCTGGGTCCCTAGTCTCGGTCCGGGTCTCTCGAGCAGGTCTCCGCACGGTGGGCGAGTTGGCCCAGTCGCCGCCACCGGACTGCCGTCGACTGCTTGAGGGTGGAGCACGCGGAGAGCGAGCGCGCGCGCTTGGCTCGTTGGTTCTGCGGTCGAGCTGGTCGACCAAGCCAATCCCAGACACTCCAGGTATCCAACGTGCCCAAAGTCTATGCAACAGGATCGAAAAGGATCGTGTGTTTGCGGGATCCTGGGCACACTGCTAAGCTGCCCGCCCCACGTTTTAAGTGATACACGCAAGATTCTCCGACCTGGACATGCGTCATTGTACTTTTTTGGTTCTAATAGAATTTGTGTGTTCTTACAAAGTTGGCTCTGGAATGCTCTGGGTGTGTGTGGTCAGTCACTAGCTTCATGGGGAGCCCAGTCTTCATCTTTCGGCCATCAATCTCAGCTTTTTTCCTGGGTCACCACAGCTCCGGGTGCACCAAAAAAATGGCACTGGAAAAGGTGATGATCCCAGCCAGACACATGGCCGATGTGCGCGCAGCCAGATAAGTCTGTTTATGGTTGTTTGTGTAAACTGAGTTTGCAGTCTTTCTTGGATCATTTTTGGACATAGGTCCTAGCAGTACTATACATAGACAACCTGAGAAGCTGCAAAACGAAAGCCAGCGTTTTTACTTTCGAGTGTGCTTTCTCAGGGCACCCCACCGAACCCCCCTTCTTTCTCAGCTGGCGCAGGTATAGATACCCAGGCTAACTACAATTCAGTTACCAGGTATAGTACTTCCAGTTCCCTTTCCGTCAACCGCTCGATAACCTTTACACATGCACAGCAAGCCACAGCTTTGAAGTCTCATTCGTGCATTGAACTTATATAGGTATGTAAGAGGTACATCAACATAGCATCTATACGGACCAAGGTAGCTACAATTCTTTTGCCAGGTGTCCCACTTCAATTTCCCTACCCTGGGTCCGCGCGCGCGCGCGCCTTGCTGGCTCCCGGCTGCCCGTGATTTAGGCGCGCGCGCGCGGACCCAGGGCAGCTACAAGGCAGGTGCCAGGTATACTCAGGGTAGCTACAATTCAGTTGCCAAGTATAGCACTGCAACCAACCGAAGTTAATTGCATTTCTTAAAATCACAAAAAAGCACCTCCAAAACCTTGCTTCCGCGCACCCCTACACACCACCTACTTTCGAGTGTGCTTTCTCAGGCCACCCCCCCGAACCCCCCTTCTTACTCAGCTGGCGCCTTGCCAGGTATAGATACCAGGGTAGCTACAATTCAGTTGCCAGGTATAGTACTTCCAGTTCCCTTTCCATCAACCGCTCGATAACCTTTACACATGCACAGCAAGCCACAGCTTTGAAGTCTCATTCGTGCTTTGAACTTATATAGAGGCATAGCAACATAGCATATATTTATACGGACCCAGGGTAGCTACAATTCTGTTCCCAGGTGTCGCGCGCAAGAGACTTCAAAGCTGCGGATTGCTGTGCGTGTCTAAAGGTTATCGAGCGGTTGATGGAAAGGGAACTTGAAGTACTATACCTGGTAACTGCACAAAAGCTACCCTGGGTATGTATACCTGGCAAGGTGCCAACTACACCTTACCCTTCAGATGATGCAAATGATGCAAATTGCATTTCTTGCATCACCACCCCTCAAAAATCACCTCAAAAAACCTTCCATCCGTCCACCCTCCTCCCCCAGCATGTGCCGAGTTTACGTGTACCTTTTGCGGGCCACCCCCCCCCACTCACTTCGTTCGCCAAGCACAACTCAGCTGGCGCCTTCTACGAAGGCTGGCTTTCGTAATAATCAACAAATGTCTCACATATGATGAAAGCATCTCTATACATATAGACATATAGTATGTATTATGTCCGATGTTTTTCCTTGTGATATAGTCTCCAAAGCAAATCCCTCCAAGGGCTTTGGAAGATGATGTTCCCCCATCAACGGGACTATACAGACTGGATTTGGTGGGGTAGTTAAGGGCATGAACTGCATGCAGACTTCCCCCCAAAGTGGATGCCACTTCCCACACGCCATGGCATGGGCCATTTTGAACCCACAAATTAAAAGAGCCGGGCGCATGCGGAGAAGTACCAACCAAACCAGGCCGTTTGCTGCAAAGCCAGGCAACACTTTGGGGCTGGCCTGTGTCATGATCTTCGAGGCTCGAAGCCGATGCAGAGAATCTAATCCTCAACTTTTGTTGGGTGGCCCAGGAGGGTCCCTGATAGGGCTTCTCACGCGTCAACGAAGTACACTCAGTGATATCATGTGATATCTAGAATCTAGATGAATCTATAGTGTGACAAGACTCACTGAGACACCCAGTTCTTTTGTACATGTGGTTTGGAACAAGATATATTTGAATTCTTTTGAAGACACCGGAAAGCCGCAGGACCGCAGATTCTCTGCTCCCGTTCTCCCGTGCTGGGATGCTCAGCTCTTAGTGACGTCTCCGTGTTGCCACACGTCCTATGTCCCTTCCCCCGGTCACATGAAAAGATCTGAAGCTTCTCGTGGCTTGGTGAGGTAGAAGCACCTCCAAAGTTCCGAACGCGAGAGGAGGCTGAAGAGGACCGGAGACAGAAGGCCCGAACCGAAGAGGGGGCAGTCAGTCTGGACCGTCGAATCAGTCTGGACCGACACGACGACGGCTCCTTTCTGTGTTCTACGTGTCCGAGGGATCCTTCCCCGGAGGGGTTCCTGGTTCAGGTGGGTGCCAGGGGGGGTCTAATCACCTTCTGATCTGGCCGGTTGGAGCGTTAGGGTTCACAACAAACATGCGATCTCCAAAGTCAGTGCTCTGTTGTCCAAGGACCTTCAGGGCATGGGAAGGGATGCCTCCTACAGTGTGAAGTTGAGAACATGGTTTGAAAGGTCCTTCCCGACCTTCTGAAGCTGGAATTGCAAGTTGGTAGGCACTAAGAGTCTGATCAAGCCGGATATTACAGGCATATACTCTAAATCTGATCGGCTGTCGCGGGGATTGGGAGTTTCAACATGCCGCAACAAAACATGGGGAGAAATCCAAGGGGAAAATAAACCATATAACCTTAACATTATAAGCAAAACATAGCAAAACCAGGAACACGAGGTTGATGCTTCGGCTGCTGACGCTGAAGGGCTTTTTGCGTGGCGTACTGCCCAGGTGATTCCATATGGCGCCTCAGCAGCATCTTCTCCCCTTGCATGCCTCCCGCCAGGCCGAAGAGCTCCGAGAAGACCTGCGGTACACAGGAAGCCATGGGCTTTTTCGGTTGGGCCCGCTGCGAAGAACGGCCCCGAGTTGGTGAATTCATGCATCACATGCACCACCCAAGAATGTAAAACCTCTGAAAGAACACGAGCTTTCATCCAACCGGGCTTAAGGTGAGCACAGGCCTTTCACATGGGTCACACCGTCGGCGAAGTCGCGGCACCTCTTGGCTCTTCCTCCCACACACCAGCGACTTGAAATGGGCATCGCATCGGCTCATCGAAAAGACCTCGGCCGCGATGGGAGGATCGGGTGACGCGGCCCGGCCCTTGGTGGGATCCTTTTGGGCAAACGAACCAGCGTCTTACGGGTCACCTGGCTGGACAACCCCACAATAATTCTCCAAACTTATAGGTCTGACAGGGCACAGCAAAATTCGAGTGCTAGGAAGATACTGTATATAAATATGTTCTTGACCCACCATGAAAACACCGCCATTGCCATGGCTTTAATCTCAAATCGGTTCCAGGACCCTCCGAGCAAGCTCGGATGTGCTGGCTTCTCCGGACTTAGAAACTCCCAAACACCCCAGACTGCTGCCGCCCCATGCAACCCTCAAAAAACTGTTTTAAGGTGGGGTGTTCATGGAGTGTCTGGGTATGGGAAATCCATGGCAAATCCTTGATTCTTCGGTCGATACCCTTCCAAGAGGCGACCCTATAGCTATCAGCTGGCCGGCTGGATGGTGATTTGGTGTTGATGTGATGGTCAAAACCCTATAGCTATCAGGGTCCAAATAAGCCTTTGGGAAAAACTAAATTGTATGTCCCAACAACCATCTTGGGGTGGTAATTGAATGGAACATACATCCTCAGGAAGGTTCCAAAAGGATGGTCCAGCCTGACGTCAGAAGCTACGTGAAAAACTCTATAGGCCCCTGGTAGCTTATGAGGAAAAACAATGAAAAAAACACACCAGTCAGGTCCTTCCGCTTGCTTTGCTTTGCGTATACTGTCCTTTCTCAAGAACTGGGCGTCCGCACCAGCACATCCAAAGGCTGGTCCAAGAATTCTTCAGCCTAGGTATACTCCCAGAAAATCATGTAAGTGGAAAAACCACCTGTTCGTGCAGGAAAAGGGTTTTCCAAGGGGCCTTGCCTTTGACTTCCATGATTCTTTCAGGGAGTGTGGTGCCAAGTGGTTGGTGCCACAAGCTATCTGGCTATAGGCTTAGGGTTCCAAGCTGTGTCTAGAGTCTAGGGAGTTCTAGGCTGCCGCTCTGCAGAACAAGCGCTCTTCCGAGCTTATGTCGCGACCTTCCGAGCTGTGACAAGACCCCCGGTTTCAAGCACAAATGATGTGACCTGGTAAATATTTTTGTCCCATGGTCCCATGAGTCTGGCATTGGAGCTTTGGGCCCGGACGTCCGGATTCGAAGGGGTTCTGGAGGTCCTCCGAGCTGCGAGGTCCACCGTCCTCTCACTGGGCTGGCGCACCCATTGGCCCCAATAGGTCCCGGAGGCTGCGTCGAACCTGCGATGAGGTTCATTGAAGGTGAGTGATTGAGCTGAAGAGCTATAGCCGCCGTCTGCCTGGGGGTTGTTCAGAGACCCAGGAAACAATCAGATTCCAAGAATTGGTCGCTATAGACTCTAGATCAATGAAGCAAGAAAACTGCTAAAGTTTCATGGCAATGTTGTCAACATGCTTGAAATGTCCGATGACTCTGCAGATCCAGCAGTGGTCATGCCGAGCCATGCCCGAAATTAAACTTGTTTGCAGGTCTCTCCAGCAGCCACATCCTTTTTGTTGCTGCAAGACACTCTGATAGACAAGAGGGTGAAGCAGTGCCACCCATGTCTGAGTCTAGGGGTCTAGCACATGATGAGGAGACTCACCAAACACTGTCTGCAGCCTTGTGCCGCAGAATCCGCGGAGCGCCGCGCTCCGTCGCTCCGTCCATCATGTTGGGGTCAATTGACCTTGACCAATGTCATCGTCCCATTCAAAAACGCCCACACCTCGGGTCCGAGTGAATGTCAACAAATCAGTGGACCTTAAAAGAAGGCAGGCTTTTGGCTTAAACAGAAAATCAGACCCAGGCCCAGTCGTGTATTCCAGGCATCCACGAGAGAAACCCCGGCTAAAGACTGTCTTTGGAAATACTGCTTGCGAGCCAACAACAGCTGAAACCCATCACCTACGAACCGCTATCAGTGGAACGCTGCCAAGGCCGGTTGGAACCTGAACGCTGCCGCTTGTGCTGAGAGGCCGAAAGGAATATCCTGCCTCGGTGGTGATGTGGCCACGACCGGACGACCGGACACCGGGACCGTACCCGACCGTACCGGACGCACCGTCATGGGACTCCTCGGACCCGGGTCGACTCCGGACCTGGCGACCCGAAGGGTCCAAAAGCACCCTGGCATGCGAACTGAGGGTCCGAACTCTGAGCCTTTGTGTATAAAGAAAGGGATTTTAAATGCATTCCCTCATGTACCGTATGACAGGGTGATATCATCTGACAGGGTGATATGTCAGACGCCCTGTCAAACACCTGTAGCCAGGCTAGGCACCTTTTGATGTCGGGTCCACGACTCAAACACCGATTGGATCGTGGATCCAAGGTCGTTGGAACTCATAGGTCGTTGCCCCCCACCCCCTTGATACCCAAACACTCCAAGCCTCTGGGGGGGATTTACCTGTGGGTACTTCATCAGCAACATTGGAGCTGGGGGAGCTGGTGATTGGTCCCTCCACGCCAAAGAGCCGATACTTCTCAAGCGTTTTCATGGCCTTTTTGTAGTTCTTGTCCTTTGCATAGGCTTTAAAGGTATTGGCTTCCTGCCGCAGCAGCAATGCATCGGGTTCACACACACTGCTTTGGTTTTCTGCTTCAATGAAATAGAGACTGAAAACCACAAACACAATCCCCAAGCACCAGTTTGGATAGTCACTGTGGTCTATAAATGGTGGCTCGTGGCATCGACTCCTGGCCTTCTTGAGTTTCGCCACCACATCATCCGCATACTCAGGAGTAACGCGATTTGCATCACCTTCCCAGTGGAAGAAAGGATGAAACACCGCCAATCCCCAAGAATCCACAAGACTGGCATATGTTCCTTCATTTTTACCATGAAAACATCTCAGCCACATCTAAATGTATAGGCAAATAGTCCAGTCCCATGGATTGTCTGGGAATGGAAGCATGGTCAGAACTGTAACAAATCTGGGTTGTAGATGCTTTCAAAGCCATATAGCAAAAGCTGAGCAATAGCTGACGGCATGCCTGGCCTACTGTTCTCTAAAAAGACAACAAACTTGCTCATGCCGTCATCAAGTCATCAAGCGTACGTACTCTTGTATATAGACCGATAGACCCCCAAATAAATCGAAGTTCTTAGATCCCCACCAGTAGTGTATTGGAAACCGTGCCACTCTCCGCACTCTCTATCTGGGGACCACCATAAACTGCAAGGGACTTCTGGGAACGTTGCCACCTTTTTCACCTCTCATCGAGCCTCAAAGGCATTCAGAGGCCTAGAGGGAGAACTGTCATACCGTATTCCAGCTGCTTCCAATGGGTTAGCAATGGACCATCTGGGACCACTACTATACTTCATATAGGTCTCCAAACATGGCAGCTATTGGAAGTGCTACAGTAGTCAGTAGTCTTCTACCCCCTTTTGTGGGATGGTGTTTTTGGAGCCTTTTTTCGCTCGTTCATGGACACCCTCTATTATAGCATGCACCACACCCATGTGTACACGAGCGGAATCGGCGCCAAGAACCCCATACACATCCCAGGCGCCGAACTCTCGCATCATCTTCACCATCTTGGTGAGCCGGTTCTCGATGAAATCATCGGTCACCTCTCCTAACAAGACCACTCTTTTTGGCAAACCGTGCATCTGGGCCTGAGTGGTTGTTGCTACGGTAGCCCAATTGCAGTGCAGAATACGACTCAAACAACTTAGTGGGGACAAAAGCCAACAAAAATGGTACAGAAATGTACAGGGCTCAAAGTAGAATCCACATCATGTCCAAATCCAGACGATCCATGATCAAGTCAATGTAGGATCTACATTCACCATCTTTCATCACCCCGAAAACCACCCGAAGACCTGTAGGCCACCGGATTTGCGGCCTTGGATGGTCTGGGCGATCTGAATCCAAGGGAAAGAATATACCCTGTAGCTTGTAGGATTCCAACCACCCTTGATTTAATGTAGTTGTTTTCCTAATGGAACAACCAGCTGTTCTACTCAGGAGTTTACACTACAAACCTATTTTTTCATGGTCGAACGGATGGCAAATATAGGCAAACAGTATATATAAATGGTACATACAGGTACACAGGTTTTCTGGGAACACGTCGTGGAGTCCGTGAATTGCTTGGAAAATCCACTTTATGTTGCAAGTAATTGCTGAGAAAACCAACTTCCTTTTGCAAAAATCGGCGAACGACTTTCTTTCCATGTGGATTCCGGACGAACACATGATCTTCTCGAGCATGTGTTAGCAGTTAGCAACTCTGTGGTAATTGGTGTAGGCTGAAAACAGGCTGCTAAGTGCGGGTGCGCAGTGTTGGTAGTAGTCCAAAGCCATGAGAACAGTGAAGTAGTGGGTGTCTTTATATGAATAGTGAGCTATCTTCGTGCTGAAGTTCTTTCTTCACTGCACTGCGATGGATTTTGTGAGTTGCTCCTACTAGACTAAGCCTGATGCTAAACTCGCATATCGCAGACTCAGTATACATTGTTGCATTGTTCCGTGTAATATATAAGTCGACCTTTGGACAAACAAGTAGGGTGGAGAGTGGTTCCGGAAAATGCCCAGGTGGCCTGTCCTGCTTCCTTCAACTCGCGGTAGCCCAGAACTATGGTTGGAAGGCACCTTAGCGCCAAAAACCGTGGAAAAACAGGCATTCTTCAGGGCCCAAGGACGTAGTCCGCAGAAAACGGGGTGCTTCAGGATCCTTCAGGTCTTTAGCGCCCTACGTCCTGCGTCCCCTGGGGCTGCGGAAACCCCAAACCTGCCTCAGAACTGGAGACGTCAGTGGGTGGCCGCGTCATGCCGTGTACGTCCGCCATCGCAGGTGCAGCCAAAGATGCTTCGTCTTTTTCCTCAAGACCAATGAATACAAATCCTCGCTCCGGACTCACGCGGTTCTTCGGTTCTTCGGTCTGCAGTGCTATGCGACATGACCACTGGTCTGCAGTATTGTTTGCTGCCCAAGTCTACGTCGTGCACGGACAAGTGAACGCGCTGTCCCAAAGGCTCATGGAACCAAACCAACTGCTATACAAACCCAAGACCATCCAATAGGTGTCTATAAATAGCCTCTTAGAGGTTAAGGTCTGTGGGAGGTAAAAACCGGTACCAATGGAGGGCCCAGGTAGATACCGTAACTTGCCAATGTGGGTTGGTTCGCCAGATCTATCCCGAGATATCCCGAGTCGGGGATGTAGAGCCGGGCGAAACCAAGCTGAAAACACCCAGCCGTCTCGTTTCTGCAGGGCGGCTGCGTTTGGTCCGGGTACTGCAACACTCCTGGTACTGTCGCCATGCACTGCCATTGTGCGTCTCAACGACTGACTCATGCGATGCTCTGTCTCCGGTGAATCCGGTGTCACAGCCACCAAGCGTCGATGGGGCCTTCGGCGCGAGCGTCCATGAGTTGGCCCAAAGGAAGGGTCGCGGTCGCCAGGAAGAAGCTTCTCCGTCCCAACGCAGACCTGCACAGGTGAAAGCCCCCAGATCGAAGGTGGCTCCAAAAAGATATACCATGATAATTATAACTGTTCAGAAATCTACACCTGGAAAATCCGGGAAATACAATCTCGCACTCAATATCGTTTCTAGTTTCTAGTTCAAGACCTGGCACCCACCCCAGGTCTAATCCAAGCACCTTCTTTGCCCGACTCGGCGGACTCCCAAGAGAAACGAAGCAACAAGCTGCAACTGCCGAAAGCCATCGATTCTTGAAAAAGCATATGAGTCGTATGTGATCTTCCCCAGCTCCCAAGCAAAAACAAATGGTTCCAAGCAGTTAAAATCATACCTTTCCAATGGGTGTCCTATGTCTGGAGACTGATTGAGTAGTGGGCTGGGTTGTCCAGATGAATTGTGGGAAGCAGCTGGTACGTCATCTCTGGGTTTCCCCAGCTCCCAAGCAGAAAACAGTGCATGGTTCCAACAATGGTTGAGATCCTGAAAACATATAGGAAGTGGTTGGGACGGTAGAAACATTTCCAGGTATACCCTGTAGTTGCACGCCAGAGTGAAAAGGAACGCATACACAATGTGGACCGACATCAAGTGCTGCTGTTTGGTGCGGAGAAACGCATCCCAGTAGTATGCAGCGGTATGTCTAGCATGTACGGACCAAGGACTCCAGGACAAACTACAAAGTATCCATGCATCTACTATAATACTCTATAATGAGGGGGTCGGGGGTAGCTGGTAATCATTTAACCGAAGAGAAACAACCAAACAACATCTCCTGCCTTGGACCCGCCCAAGCTTGGCCCTGCATGTTCAGCATTGCCACGAGCAACACCACACACCTGGTCTTCAGAGCAGCCACGTGTCGAGTTGTCGAAGCAATCGAGCAAAAAATCAAACTGCCAAAACCCAAATCACCAAAAGGATGGTTTTGAGGCTGCGAGGCTTTCAGGGTTCATGGACGAGACGTCCGAGACGTCGGATCAGAGAAAAACATGACGGAAAGGAGCACATGTTTATACTATAATATCAGTTATCACGTTCATTGAACTCTTTTTCTTGCTATTTTACCTATTCTTATTCGGTTACACTACTGTTGGCAATAGGATTAAGTAAACTCCCATTAATCCAGCCCATCTCGAATCAAGCCCATCTGCCCCAGAAAGGAAATATATAGTTCATTAGTATATTGTCTGAAGCTGCAATCTAAGCTGCCAATGTTCTATCAAGCAAGCTTTGTTCCATAATCCCTAAAAACTCTCTAGCAACATTTGTTTAATTGTCCCTTATTAAACTCCATTAACATCTTAAAGTTTTCAAGCTGACAAAGGGTACCCCATACACAGGCCCCATGGTTCGCACAGAATCCCATCAACCATCATCCATCAATACCCATCATCAGGTCATCACCTTTATTTGGGGGATCTAGTCTCCAATACCTCCAATCTCTATCCTAGTTGACCTCATTGACCTGGAAGGGGGCGGTTGATCTACGTCAACATTAGCTGATGAGCTGTTTCGTCTTTTTTCCGTTGTGATTTCGACAATCATACCTTTGATCTTGGGGATGCCCACCTGATGACATCTCTCGAACATGCTTTCCAACACGGGCGAGGTCCGACCATCGTGGGATGTCTCAGGGAGTATGGCAATGTTTCACAAATGGTCTGTGGAAACATCCATGTCCTTCTGGTTGCTTGGGTTTCCAGGTTGCAGGTATTTATGTGCTTGATCATAATCTCTAATTCATCATTACTGTTCTCATCTGCTCACGGACCTTTTTTGTCTCAGCGACTGTGTGTCTGCAAACTCATGCGGGTCTAGATTAGTCTAGATGTGATTCGACTGGATTGCTTTTACAAATTGCATGGGTTTGCTTTTTTGAGCCAATGGCTCGTGCCCGGGAATTCTTGGCGATCTGGCCGTGGACCACCTGGGACAAATGAGGTGGTTGCCCTCGTTCTTCGCCCAAGGAGGTGTCGGACCTTCGGTCGTACCTGAGAAAATTGGGACCTGACTCGAAGCCAAAGGTACGACTATGCTGCTATGCGGAATTGATGCCTTTACGTCTATAGAACCGGCCAAAACACTGTAAATTCGCAGGATCTAGGTAGGACATGGTAGGACTGGGGCCCCACGTTCCAAGCTGCAGGGTGCGTTTTTCGGATCGAAAAACATAGATCATGATGGATCAAGAAAAAACTGCGGTGAACAGGAAGAATCTTGGCCCGAATGCGAACTGAGAAGTCTTGGCCCAGCGGGAAGCATTCGGGTCTCAGAGAGACCGGTGGGGCGTGTTTCACGGAGAGTCTTGGTGAGACGATGAGGTCCAACTTGGCGAGACACTGAGGATCGAGATGGTTGAGATGGATACCACCCTGATGCAACGATGGACAGCATAGGAAAGCCAAGAAATTGAACCGACATGAACAAACTGGGTGAACCACAGAAGAATTCCATCTGCTTTGTTCTGAGAAGACACGTTGCAAAGCTAATTGAGAGATACCCCAACCCCAGGAACCCACGAAATCACCGTACCTCAGGTTCGGTATCCTGGACCCTCCTGGGGACCGCCTACATCAAAATGTCGAACACATTGTTTTTCTCAGGCCGTGGCAGTGTCTTCAAGTTGCGCCTAGCTAAGTGTCCGTGCCACACACCCATATGTCCGCCCATGTCCGGCAGAGGTTGGCCTGGCATCCAGTTGCACCTCAGCCATGTTGGGACAAGCTGGTTCCGGGGGTATCCGGGGGGGGAGGAGAGATGGAAGCTCTCAACGATGTTTCTGAGTATTTCTGAGTAACAACTAGTGCAAATGTTTGGAGTTGCAGGAACTGCTACTTGTGAAATGTCTGGTAAGAACAACTGAAAGGTTCCAATGAGGTTTGAGTGAGGATTAGATCAAAGGGCGTCTCGCCCTGGTTCATATACCCCCAAAAGATCAATTGAAGGGCTAGCTGCGGGAAACCAGTCATGTGTGCAAAAATTGTCGTCCCTTGGATGGTCTACCGTGTTTCATATGCCAAACAATTTCGTACAACTACAACTACACAATTGTCGTTGCCGCATGAATGATCGAGTGTGATTGCCTTAAAACATTTCAGAACATGGGTGTGTATCAAAAAACGAAAACCTCCCAGTTCGGCCCCTGGAAGAAGGGAAACATCCCAAAACCATCAATCGGGTCCAAGTCATGTGCATGTTTTTATTGTAACTATAGTCCACGTTGAAATCGGCATTGTCATGGTGGTAGTGTCTTTTGTAGAAAATTGTCTCTAGACAATTGGAAGGACCTGCATTTTTACTACAACATGGCATGGTTGGCCCACATTGTCTCTACATTTTTTTTCCACAAACCCACTTTGGAGAATGTAATGAACACCAACATGCTACAAAATCAGTTGTCAACGTACCCAGAAAGTCCAGAATTAATTATGTATCTTGACAGGTTCAAGTTCAAGAGATCCTCTCTACAAAATGGATCAGGTGGATTGTGGGAAGAACATGAAACAAAATGCTTATATGTTCTACAAAACCAGTCAGCCAAAATTGGTTGCAACGTAGAAATCAAAGCGTTTCTACAAATCAGGATTTCAGTGTTGGTACAAAAGTGGTCTTTGTGGATATCAAAAGAACTACTATATACAAATCTCAGTTACTATACATTCACATACATTCTTGGCATCTACAAAATCATTGGAGTCACCCTTAGATCTCTTTTCCACGTGCACTCAATGTATAGGCTTGCCAGGACAAAACATGCTGAGACACCCACTGATTTTCTCTACAAAATGGCGGCCTTGATCTTTTTACAGATGTATAAAGCTGACCTGAATTAGCTATCCCATGACACCTGGTTTTCAAGAGAACATTTTAACAGTGACTCAATAAAACATATTGGTCTTTCCTTCTCTTCTGCGCCCTCGTGTTTAAAGCTCCGTCGCCTTCGTCCGCGGTGCCCTTCGTCCCCGTGTCGCGTGTCGCGTCCATCGCTCCCCGCGGCGCCCATCGGCTCGCTCCGTCGCGGAGAAGCCCCCGCTGTGAATGGACCTGGACGAGCCGCAGAAAGCCACGCGAGCCGGACAGACTTGCTTCGGGGGGCTTGCCCAACGTGTGGTTTGGTCTGTAGGCTATAGGTTACAGGCTGGTTTGACGTGTTTATACAGGTGGGGCAATGTGTGCTTTCAAACACTGTCGTTATTCAAAGGTTAGGGCTATGACAAAAAGCTGCCTGCAATGTCTATTAAATCCTAAATTGTTATTTTAGGGAAAATAGGAAGTAAATAGAAAACATAGGAACCAAAATTAGAAAAAATAGAGTTGGATTTAGAAATAGGAAAGGAATAGAGGAAAAACAGGAAAAGAACGACACTACTCTAGGAATAGAAGATGAAAAGGATACGAAGAGCAAAGGACTGGAATAGAGGCTTCAAGAAAATGGGAAAAAAAAACAGGAATGAAGGACAGGAATCTAGGACAGAATCGAATATAGAATGAGCAAGGGTGCCAGAAATGGAAGGCAACGACAAAAGAAAAGGAAAATTGTCACAGGTTTTACACCCTAAAAAATTTGACCTTAATGCTCTACCGTTACTACCGATCCCCAGTACTCCAGTACTGGTCCCCAATTACTGATCCCCAGTACTCCACTCACTACTGATCCCCACCACTCCAGTGCTGGTCCCCAGGTGCTGGTCCCCGCTGCTCCGGTGCTGGCCCTGGCTCCAGTGCCGATCTCCAGGTACTGGTCCCCAGTACTCCAGTACTGATCCCCAGAAGTCCTAGCTTTCCTATTTTTCCTATTTGGAAACATGGGCCTATTTTTGTCCTATTTTTTCCTAGTGTCAATTCCTATTTGTTTTATTTATTTCCTATTTTCCTATTTCTGAAAGGAAAAATCTAAAAACAATAGGAAACACATAAAAATAGTAAAAATAAAAACATACTAAAAACAAATATGTGAATTTTTCTAAATAGAAAAAATAGGAAAAATAGGACTACTGGGGATCAGTACCTGGCAATAGGACTGGAGTACTGGGATCAGTACTGGTGTACTGGGATCAGTACTGGAGTACTGGGGGTCAGTACCTTGCGGATCAGTACTGGAGTACTGGGGATCAGTACTGGAGTTCCTTTAAATTGATTAATTCCTTTCAGTTTCCTTGTAAAATCGATCAATTTCTTCTATTTTGCCTGTTAAAAATGATCAATTCTGTTCATGTTTCTTTTTGAAAATGATTAATCCTTTCATGTTTCCTCTAAAAATGATCAGTTCCTTTCATTTGCTTTTTGAAAACCATCAATTCCGAGTAATCGTTTCCAGCATTGCTAGTAGTTTCATTCACACATGTCAGTTCATGCCTCTAGTCGGAATGAGCCACCAGCCTTCCAAGAAATCTGGACATTCAACCCTACTTTTTCATAGTTCATGTTTGTTCTTGTTTTCAGTCCTTTGGGTCCTTTTTGTTTCCTATTTTTCCTAAAAACGAAAATTTTTGAAAGCAATAGAGATTGCAATAGTTCCCCACCTGTCAGGTGAGGGTTGTTAGATTTTATGTCGGCCCCATCTCCTTCTTCTCCTTCTCCTCCTCCGCCTCCTCCGCCGGACCTCAACCACGACCAGTTCCCTGCCAGACCTCAACCACGACCATCCACGTCCAGTGTTCCCTGCCCGACCTCAACCACGACCATCCGCGCCCAATGTTCCCTGCTGGACCTCAACCACGACCATCCACGCCCAGTGTTCCCTGCCGGACCTCAACAACGCCCATCCACGCCAAGTGTTCCCTGCCAGACCTCAACAACGCCCATCCACGCCCAGTGTTCCCTGCCGGACCTCAACCACGACCATCCACGCCCAGTGTTCTCTGCCGGACCTCAACCACGACCATCCGCGCCCAGTGTTCCCTGCCGGACCTCAACCACAGCACACAACCACAGCACACAATCACAAACACATAACCACAAACACACAACCACAAACACATAAACGCAAACACACAACCACAAACACACAACCACAAACACATAAACGCAAACACACAACTACAAACACAACCAGAAACACACAATCACAAACAATCGCCGGACCTCACCCACAGCACACAACCACAACCACAACTACAAAGACATAACATAACCGCAAACACAACCACAAACACAAAATCACAAACACATAACCACAAACACACAACCACACACACAACCACAAACACAACCACAAACACACAACCACAATCACAAACACGTATGACAAGCACAGAACCACAAACACAACCGCAAACACACAACCACAAACACACAACCACCAACACATAACCACAAAAACAACCACAATCACAAACACAAACACGTATGACTGTATGACAAGCACAGAACCACAAACACAACCACAAGCACACAACCACAAACGCACAACCACAAACACAACCACAAACACACAACCACAATCACAAACACTAACACGTATGACACACAACGACAAGCACAGCACCACAACCACAACCACAAACACACAACCGCAAACACACAACGACAAACACACAATCACAAACACAGAGCCACAAACATACAACCACAAACACACAACCACAAACACAACCACAAACACACAAACACAAACACACAACCACAAACACACAACCGCAAACACACAACCACAAACACACAAAGACAATCACAAACACGCAATGACAAGCACACAACCACAAACACGACAAAGACTGACAAACCCACAACCACAAACACACAACCACAAACACGTAATCACAAGCGCACAACCACAAACACAACCACAACACACCCACACAACACAGTCGCAAGACACAACCACAAACACACAACCGCAAACATGCCATCGCAAACACACAACCACAAACACAACCACAAACACACAACCACGATCACAAACACGCAATGACAAGCACACAACCACAAACACGACAAAGACGCAACCACAAGCACAAATCACAAACGCAACCACAAACACACAACCACACATAATCACAAACACAAAGACAAACACACAACCACAAACACACAATCACAAACACACAACCACAAACACACAACTACAAACACACACAACCACAAACACAACCACAGCCACAATCACAAACACGCAATCACAAGCATACAACCACAAACACAACCACAATCACAAACAGGCAATCACAAGCACACAGCCACAAACACAACCACAGCCACAAACACGCAACCACAAGCACAACCACAAACAAAATCACAAATGCAACCACAAACACACAACCACAAACACAATCACAAACACGCAACCACAAACACAGAACCACAAACACAATCACAAACGCAACCACTTCCACTACTACTACTACTACTACCACTACTACTAGTACCACTACTACTCTTACTAGGACCCCGGTAGTTTCCAAGGTTCGGGCCCCGAAGGTCGGGTCCCGAACTGTGCGCTGCTATACCGCAGTACTACTACTACTACCACCACCACTACCACCACCACTACCACCACCACTACCACCACCACTACCACTACCACTACCACTACTACTACTACTACTACTACTACTACTACCACTACCACTACCAGTACCAGTACCAGTACCAGTACCAGTACCAGTACCACTACTACCACAACTACTACCACAACTACTACCACCAACACCACCACCACCACTACTACTACTACTACGACTACTACTACTACTACTAGTACCACTACTACTAGTACCACTACTATCCACTACTACTCCTACTAGGGCCCCGGAAATTTCCAAGGTTCGGGCCCCGAAGGTCCGGCCCCCGAACTGTGCGCTACTATGGCTACTACTACCGCAGTAGTAGTAGTAGTAGTAGTAGTAGTAGTAGTAGTAGTAGTAGTAGTAGTAGTACTAGTACTACTACTACTACTACTACTACTACTACTACTACTGCTCGGGCCCCGGAAGTTTCCCAGGTTTGGGCCGCCCAGTACGAGCACTACTGAAATGATCTGAGTTGTATTTTTCGTTTGGCACAGGTCTCCTGATGAAAGCATTCGCTCCGGACAAATCAGTAAGACTTGGCGCTGAAGCACTTGTGCTATGGGCTGAAATACACAACGAAGGATGTTAACGTGGCCGTTTTGAAATGTCACGGTGGGGATCACTCGAAGTAAAGTATTTTTTCATAAGGTTAGGGTAGTGCATGATACGTTCGCGATGGTCTCGATGCGACTATGTTGCACTCAGCAAATAGTTCAGTTGGCAGAGCGCGCGCCCCAATATCGCCAAACACTGGTTCAAGCCCACCCGCCACCCGCACCCATAGGTGGAACAGTTTTGCAGAGCAACTGTCATAGTTAGTCAGTTTGGTAGATTGGTGGTGACCTTCATTACGTGGAATTTGCCCGCTGATTTCCCAGCATACAACCGTTAACGTCCGCTCTCGCAAGCCGCAATCGGTCTTCTTGGCTTCAGTGCTTGCTTGGTTTCACCGGCCGCGCGACCAGTTACTCAGCCGTCAGCCTCTCCGCCACGACAAGGCCAGCACCCTGGAGAGGAAAAACTTGTGCGTATCTATGGCGACGCGCCCCGCCACGAAGAAGAAGTCGATATAGTCAGTTACGTCCTCCCATTCCCTGTCTAGTTGATCTCCTTATTGCCGCGACTTCATCAGCTCTGGCCCAAGCCTTGCTCCTGCTTTTGGCCTCCGGCAAGCATTGCGAGAAGGCTTCTTAGCCGCAGCTTGCGCAGCTGCTTTTGTGGCTGCATTGGCGGCGCAATCTGCTTGCCACTGTGCCTTCGCGCGTCGCAGCACAGGCACGTTGCGCAACTCGCGCACGTGAACGTATAGCGCGTGTGTTTCTTGTTGCGCAGCAGCAAAGCCTTTCGGTACGCAGTTAACTACAACAGGATTCGCCAGAGCGTGCCAGACTTCACGCAGGATCGGGCCAATCTTTTCCAGTTTCTGGGGCGGAGCGCATGGGACGCGGATTATCGGCCGTCGCTGCAGCTCTTCTTCCCTCTGATTCTCCCTTGTGCATCCAGTCCTCAGTATGAAGCGCTTCTGCGCCGCAATTGCAGCAAACCTCTGCTTGCCAGCGGCTGGAAAAGGCAACCAACCAAACACAAAAAGCTCTACAAGCCTGCACAGCCAAAACGCACGGGCCCAGAGAGCGTGCCCTGATCGAACCCGGGATCTTGCACCCTAACGTCATCTGAAGCTTTAAAGGCTGTGGCCCAAGCCTTGGCTTCTGCTTTCGGCCTTGGGCGAGCAGTGCCAGAAGGCTTCTTAGCCGCAGCTTTTGCAGCTGCTTGTAAGAGCCTTGAAACACAAGCGTGCACTATCTGCTAGCTCGAGCAGCTCGGATCTCTGCAGCAGATTCATAGCTGGGTGTCATGCGCCACTGCTGCCGGTGTCAAGTGGAGGCGCGACGTCATGCGTGACGTCGTGGTGGCACCGCTCAAACCGTTCAAAGCCTCCGTCTTATCCAACACTGTCTCCACAATGAGACACATGTGAGGTAGAAAAACATGGTACGAAAATCATGATCCCAACAGCAAATCGTATGATTTACAAGCGGCGGTCTTGATACGTGGTGATGGCGGCAACCATGGTAGTAGCAGTAGTAGTAGTAGTAGTCGTAGTAGTAGTAGTGGTAGTAGTAGTAGTACCAATAACAAAAAAACACAGCAGCAGCAGCAGTCGGAGTAGGAGTACAAGGAGTAGGGGTAGGAGTAGGAGTAGGAGTAGGACGAGGAGGAGGAGCAGTACTAGTAGTAGTAGTAGTAGTAGTAGTCGTAGTAGTAGTAGTAGTAGCAGTTGTAGTAACAGTACTAGTACTAGAACTAGTACGTACTAGTAGTAGTAGTAGTAGTAGTAGTAGTAGTAGTAGTAGTAGTAGTAGTTGTAGAAGAAGTAGTAGTAGTAGTAGCAGTCGCAGCAGCAACAGCAGCAGCAGCAGCAGTAGTAGTAGTAGTAGAAGTAGTCAGTAGTAGTGGTCATTCTGACTGAAATGCGGATGTCGTTCAGAGGTCGTTTCGCCGAGAAATCTGGCTAAATACTGTGCAGCAGCAGCAGCAGTCGGAGTAGGAGTACAAAGGAGTAGGGGTAGGAGTAGGAGTAGGAGGAGGAGGAGGAGCAGTACTAGTAGTAGTAGTAGTAGTAGTAGTAGTCGTAGTAGTAGTAGTAGCAGTTGTAGTAACAGTACTAGTACTAGAACTAGTACCTACTAGTAGTAGTAGTAGTAGTGGTAGTAGTGGTAGTAGTAGTAGTACTAGTTTGTAGTAGTAGTAGTAGTAGTAGTAGTAGTAGTAGTAGCAGCAGCAGCAGCATAGTAGTAGTAGTTGTAGAAGAAGAAGAAGAAGTAGTAGTAGTAGTAGTAGCAGCAGTCGCAGCAGCAGCAACAGCAGCAGCAGTAGTAGTAGTAGTAGAAGTAGAAGTAGTCAGTAGTAGTGGTCATTCTGACTGAAATGCGGATGTCGTTCAGAGGTCGTTTCGCCGAGAAATCTGGCTAAATACTGTGCAGCTGCAGCAGCAGCAGCAGCAGGAGCAGGAGCAGGAGCAGCGCCAGCAGCAGCACCAGCACCAGCACCAGCACCAGCAGCAGCAGCAGCACCAGCAGCCGCACCAGCAGCAGCAGGAGCAGCAGGAGCAGAGCAGGAGCAACAGCAGGAGCAGGAGCAACAGCAGGAGCAAGAGGAGCAAGAGCAGCAGCAGCAAATCCATCATGTACGTATTTAAGGAGGTCGTTCCAATGTCGTTTTGGATGTCGTCCGGAGGGTCGTTCCCCAACTAAATAACACATTCCACAAAGACAGAAAACATCAGAAATAGCTGCGGCGGTGCGTGGAATTCTGAACGAAGGATCCCACAATACTACTTTACATCAATCCACCTTTTTCTCTGGCTCATGTAACCCTCAAAGTCATGCTTCAGGGTATGAGTGATGCAAGGTTTTAGTGTTGTCGTCACAAATGAATTGGTTGCTTTCCAAAGCCTCCTTCCACTGCGTGAACGTATAATTACAGAACCTTGACTTCTCATCCCACGCGCAAATTACATAAACACCGCCATAGTTCCCACAAACCATCGGCCTACTCTACATGGCCATTTCCTCTTGAAAGTTCAACTTCTGGGGACGTTTCCTCTTCCGCATTCTGCACACCCCCGCTGGCCCCCGTTCTCACCGCTGTCTCGGGCGCACTGGCCGCTTGAGCGACCAAGCGACCAAAAGGGGGTCGGCTTCCTTCAGTGCCTGCAGCCTACAGCCTTCTGCCTGTCTACAACCACCAACTGCAACTCTTTGAAACTCGGAACTCACTCTTCAAAACGTCCCTTAGATCCTGGATGATCCTGGAGTCTCTGTGGGTACAGTACTTCGGAAGAATGGGTACAGTCGTACCCATTGTTATCTAGACTGGATTGATTCATGTCCCATCAACACGAACGTATGAAGTCCAGTCGGGTCTAGGATCATCCGAGCCCAAAGAGCCCTCTGCCCATTCCAGTCTGCAGATCTTTTCCAGTCTAACGGCCCTGGCCCAAGCAGCATCCATCGTCCAAGCTGGGAAACTGATGGAGCAAGCGCCTGCACATGGGCAGTTCGTTCGGATCCTGTTGGTTTGAGGTAAGGCTCCCCTGGGTGGGAGGGTCCCTCAATGAGTCTCTGAGGTGGTCTTTTCATGTTTATTCCATGGTCGGCGTGTGGATGGTATTTCTTCCAAGCCGGGCACACCAATGAGATATGTGAGCAATTTTTTTCCAACGCCCCGACATGGGGATGTAAAGGCGCGCCGATGCAAATCTGTTCTCCAAAAGAGGGACGCTTCAAGTCAGCAAATCTAACAGGGTACAGAATCAAGCAATTCAACCAGAAGAGCTTGACCACGGTCACTCATTTCCGAAAGCCTGTAGTATTTCTTGCACTCAATTGTGGAGCCAGTCATTCCCTCGATTATGTTAACAAACTTCCAAACGTTCGCGACAGTTGTCTCTAGTGAAGCAGCGTGCCGAATGCTCCCCTTCCGGTCGCAAAACACTGTCTCGAATGCTGGCAGTTGAAGCAGTGCATCGCATGTTCGTGTGTGAAGCAACATCTCAAAAGTTTATGCAAGCCCAAACTGCATGCTATGCTCCTGCAGCGGGAAGCCGTCCCTTTCCTGTATTGATTGCAAAAGGGCAAATAATTGCTGATCACCATGCGAACCATCATCCCCTCACCCCCCACTCCCGCCAACGGTGCCCGGAAACAAACAGGTTTGCCCCGAAAGTTGTGTTTTGTAGGAAACTCTATCAATAAGTATTTAAAGCACCCAGAAGAGGCTATCCTTACACGCTCGCACATTGTATACATATGTATACATCATACAAAAGAGCCCACAAAACAAGCGGAGATGATTGGAGGCTTGAATGAAATACCAGCTTGGCCTGTGGGCGCCAGGCTGGTCAACCAATTGGTTGGGGTCCACTGGGGTCGCCGCCATTGGGGCACGAGATCTCCTCATTCATCATACTCATACCCTAGGGATCCAGTCGTGCCTTCTCAAAAGGTGAGGACGGAGACACTGTTATGTAGGTGCCAGGAGGGTCCAGTGATCCCTAGGGATGTATTTTGGAAAGCGATGAGAGCTTTCTTCACGGGTCGTCCGACAGTATTGAATGGAAATGTACTGATGGTGGCCATGACAATCTTGCGCAGCCGTCCCTTGTATAAACAAAAAACTTTCACAAAAAAAACAGGTATAGAAAAAGAGTTGCATACATTACAGCTTTGCACAAAAGTGAATCACATGTACACACCTGCTTGTCTAGAGATCCAAATGAAGAAATATAGCCTAGTAAAACTAATATGTTACATGTTCGTCTTGGAGGGTGGAAACGTGCCAACACCACGATGGACATGGACGTAGAATATACCAGGAGTCACATCGGGGTGGTTTTGAGTCCCCAAGTGAGTGGATTTTGTCACTGCTGGTAGCCGGTCTAATCAGTCCAATCTGCTTGTGTGTCTTGTTTTGCGCTCCTGACGCAGCATCAGGTGGAAGACGTAGCTGGATTGCGTGCTATAAATCATATGCTTGCATGGAAAATGGTTTCAAAACGTTTGTTGGAAGTCTCCTGATTTACGTACACACAAAAAACATTCAAGAAAAACCTCAGACATTGATTGATATCAAAGAACTTTTCGAAGAACCCATAAAGAACCTTCCCATTCAAGCTTCTTCGGGTGCCGGGGGCCACGGCGGGCCTCCGCCCGTGGTGGACTCATCATCCTGGACGCATGTTTTCGTGCGGAGCTCAGTGACCGAAAACGCCTGTGACTTGTTCTTGAATCCCTACCCCACTGGGTCCAGGGTCGAATCCAGGTACCTGGAGGTACCCTCATGCTTCGGTGTTCGTGGGGTACGTCCGGAGAACATGGTCGACCAAACCCCAGGGAAAAGCAGGACATCCTGTCTCAGCATGCCAAATCACAGCACAAAGGCCTAAAGCCTGGCCTAGCCTCATGATCCGGGGCATGTTGCAGCCTGGTTTTATGTTCTAGATCCCTAAGACTCCGGGCCCTTGTCCAGAGGGAAAGGGTCTGGTTCTGATCCGGACCCCTGCGTGTCGGTGGTTGTCAGGTCCGACCCCCGATGCGATGTGTGAGGACAACTTGAGGGGGTCTACCTCTGAAACATGTTTCTTGTGATGAGTGGATGACGCCATCAGAGGTGCTTCGAATTCATTCACTTCCGTATTCTTTCGAACAAAGTCAGCCTGGCATTCTGCATTCTACTTGGATCAACTACAGCTTATTTTTCAAGTACTGCTAGCAAGCACCACTGCGGAAAAAGCTCACCTACTAGCTGAATCCAACCAGAATCCAACCCTTCCGATGACGTCGCCAGTATCTCTGTCCAGCCGTCGGAAGAAGGGGGCACCTGGATGACGGACTTCACCACCGCCAAGCCATCCCAGCCTGCCATGGCTATGGCGCGGCGCTTTCCCGTTGGATGACCAGCTGTGCCCGTCCGAGCCAAGTCGCTTCTGACCGGATCACCGACGTCTAGACCAGTGGATAGACCCCAGACGTCTAGACCCCAACAACAATTGGATTCTGTTTGGCGTGGTTATGCGCAACTGAGTGAATATGACAACGCACGTTTTGTGAATATATGAACAGGAAGGTTTTACGACTGGCTCAATTGGATTCTGTTGGCCTTCACCTTCACCGTGAGCCTAGCATTACCTGCATCAACTGGACAGCAACCATGAATCACGTATATACCGTATACCCTTTTCCATGTTTGGGACCAGAAAACAACGCGGTTGTTCCTTCCACAGTTGGGTCACGTATATACCGTATACCCTTTTCCATGTTTGGGACCAGAAAACAACGCGGTTGTTTCTTCCACAGTTGGGAACGAAGGTAGTCCAGCATGACAGCAAGCAGTAGGTACACATACTCAAGCCCTTTAGTAGAGCGGAGCGGTGAATATACAAACAAAGTGCATGCAGCCCAGAAAGCATGGGGCTCCATACCGGGTTCCTGGTATGTGTCATCTGCCTCCTCTGGGAATGGTCAAAGGTGCTACTGTTCGACAAAGTCTTGAAAATTGGTCCAGCTAGTACGAGTACGTGTCTGTCTCCACTGAACCTTCGATATCCACTGCTGCCTCTCTTCTACAGTATGTCTTTGTGTGCTTTTCATTTCCCACGCCCGAATGTCTTTGAAGAATCGCGTGGTGATGAAGTATCTAGCAACAGTTTCAGAAGCACAATCCAAAATGTGCTTGATGCTTTCAATAGGTGACCTTCAATCCTTGCTTTACCAGCTGGATCCACAGGGCCCCATCGACCAGAGTGATCACTTCAAGGTCTCCGAAGTGTAGCCTTGCCCCGACTGACCGCCCCGCACGATCTCGCGCACGCCCAGGTGGGCCGTCGCCTGGACCCTTCAGCTCCAAGGTTCCTCTGCGAAGAGGCCTTCAGAAATGGATTAAACAATGAGGGAGGAGGATGAGGATGAGGAGGATGTTTTTGTTGCGACTAAAGCAAACAAAACATGTATACTGTATATATAGGTTCATCTTATGGAGGAGAGGATGAATAAGAATGTTTGAAACAGGAGTATGTGTTTATACCATCTTCCTTCGAAAGGCCATCAAGTACATGTTTTCTGTTTAAACAGCGCGGCCATAGATCGTGGCAACACCATCCCGGAAGTGCAATTCCGCCTCAATTTGGAAGTGTATTGAGAACTTGAGGCCGAGGGTAGGTGACGAAAGCTAGCAGGGGTGCATCCGGACTGGTGGGACATCAAGCGGAGTGAGGCAAATGCTCATGAGGTAAAACGTTGTGAACATGTAAGACACACAAACAGCAATGACACAGCCAACCTTAGAATTGAAGTCCCCGATAATTAAGGAAGCGTGGCTGAACTTTGCCACACTGTTCGATGCATCCGATGTGTTCACGAACCTGTGAGCTTGTTGAATCTGTTGCACCGTATCCCAAAACCTCCACGGAGGAGTTGAACCAGTGTGGATGCCATAAGAGGTGCCCAAGAGGTGTCCCAGAGGCAAAACAAAGCTGCTTGCATGATTTGTTTGGTTTCTTCTATCGATGTCGATGTCATGAACGTGTGAGCTTGTTGAATCTGTTGCACCGTATCCCGGAGGAGTTAAGCCAAAGTGGATGCCATAAGAGATGCCCGAGAGGTGTCCCAGAGGCGTCCGAGGGGGGGAGTTGAACC